CATACTCACCCCCCCACAGCAACAGTCAATGTAGAGTTAGAGATTCACATACAGCCGGGCGCTGCAGTTATATAGCCATTTACGGTGGCAAAGGTGGAGAAGGGAGGCTGTCGATATATCTCCGCGCCTCATCAGACGAGCGTAGCCACTTCCTATCTCCGTTGGAAAGCATGATGCAGAGCCGTGCGGGGTATAGGAGAGAGGGTTTAAGCCCTCGGCTGTAGAGATCCGCCATGACTTCCCTGTATTCAGCTCGCTGGCTCAGAACCTCGGGGCTATAGTCGTCGACAACTCGAACCTGCTGACCATGGTATTCCAACTTCCCTCTGCGCCGGGCCTCACGAATCAGGAGGTCCTTGATCTGGTAACGATGCAGCCGGAGAATGACAGGACGTGGTCTCTGTCCAGGGGCCGGCTTGGCTGTTAGCGAACGATGGGCCCTATCAATCTCGGGTGGGGAGTGCAAAGGTAGCTACTCCGTCTGCAAGGTATGGCTATAAATGAATGAGAGAAGAGTGAAGCACACAGGAGCTCTCACACATCACATCTGCTCCATACCACCATCGACCGGAAGTCCGACACTTTTTAAAAACCATCAGAAATTGTATTTCCAGGCTGTGATGCTCCTTTAATTTGTAATGAAACTCACCTATAGCACCAAACAGGTGATGACAATATAGAAATCACACTTGCAACCAGTTAAAATGGAGAAAAGGTGATTCAGCCTTTGTGTGGTGTGGACCACACTGAGCATAGAGAAAAGAAAGAAGAGCAGAGAATTGTCTGAGGACTTGAGAATCACAATAGTGACAAGTCCATCTCCAGAGATCTGGCTGCTCCTGTGTCCACTGCGCCAACATTGTCAAGAAGTTTACAGCCCATGGAAGTTTACAGCTAATCTCCCTGGACAAAAGAAAAAAATAGATTACAAACTGCAATGAAGGATTGTATGAATGGTGGACAAAGAACCTCGATCAACTTCCAGATTCAACCTGCAGGCACAGGGTGCAACAGTGTCAGCTCACACTATCCGTCGTCATCTGAATGACAAGGGACGCTGTGGTAGGAGACCCTGAGGACCCACTGCTGACACAGAGGCATAAAGAAGCCAGAGTGGAATTTGTCTAAACTTACCTGAGGAAGCCACAGTGCTTCTTGGAGAATGCCCTGTGGACAGATGAGACTAAAGTAGAGATTTTTAGAATGCCACATCATTCTATTGTTTTCAGAAAATGAATTGAGGCCTTCAAAGAAAAGACCACGTCCCTACAGTCAAACACAGTGAAGGGTCACTGATGTTTCGCTGTTTCAGCCACTGGATGTCTTGACTGTGTGTTATGAAATCTGGAGACTATCAATGAATTCTGGGGCCCAGTGTCAGAAAGTTGGGTCTCTGTCAGAGGTCATGGGTCTTACAGCAGGACAAGGACCCAAAGCAGATTCACAAAGCACCAGAAATGGTTTCAGACAAAGAGCTGGAGAGTTGTGAAGTGTCCAGCAATGATTCAAGATCTAAATCCCATAAAGCAGCAAAGGAGAGATCTCAGAACAGCAGCTGGGAGAAGGAACCCTTCAAACCTGAGAGACCTGAAGCAGCTGGCAAAAGAAGAGTGGTCCAAAACTCCAGTAGAGAGGTGTAAGAAACTCACTGATGGTTACAGGAAGTGATTTCAATTACAGTGAAACCTTGGACTGCGAGTAACCCGGTCTGCGAGTGTTTCACAAGACGAATAAAAATTTTTGCTCCAATAAACAAGCAAGGTCTTGCAATACGAGTAGTACGTACGCCTTGTCTGCCGAGTGTCACGTCACAACTGAGCCAATGGTTCTTGCATCTTACTCGTATAGTCAACATCTGTACTGCAACAATGGCCCCTCATGCCAGCCACAATTCTTTTCAAAGTTAAAGTGCAGGTTGATTTGTTTTATTTTTACTTTATACTGTATTTTGTATTACTGTAATCATTTTCATATGAATAAGTGGTTGTGGAACAAATCATCTGAGTTTCCATTATTTCTTATGGGGAAATTCACTTTGATATACGAGTGCTTTGGATTACGAGCACGTTGCCGGAACAAATTATACTCGCAATCCAAGGTTTTACTGTATTTTGTCCAAACGGTGTGCTGCCAAATATTATGTAGTCAATAATTCTGTACAGTCTATTTTTGGAGTTCTGTGTGGAATATGACAGATTTGGCTTTTTTTTTTCCCTCCTGCTTTTTTGTGTTGTTCCAATGCAAACAAAAGAAATAAACATGACAATACCAAAGAATCTGTGATTGCAGCAGTTTTCTGGGAGAAACTGTGACTTATCTGACAGAAATTCAGGGGTGCCAATATTTTTGGCCATGACTATATATACTTAGAAAAAGAAAGAATAGTCACACTGAAGAGCTGACTCCAGTCAACTGGCAAAATCCTTAGTCGGGTAAAGCCCTAATTAACATAGTGCTGACCAGTGTTTAAAATATTAATAAGTAAAGGATTACTGCTAAAGTAATCTTTTTACATTTTTTTAGTAATGTGAGGTTAAGGGATTACAATTATCAAAACAATAATATACAACAGGTACTAATCCATATAAAGCTATGTCACTGAAAGCAATTAGAATTTTGTCTGGTTTTATCATTCTGAAATCCTTTGATTATACTCAAGTGTGAAGTGGCTGGGATGAGAATCAGCACCTCCAAGTCCAAGGCCATTGCTCTCAGTCGGAAAAGGGTGTCTTGTTCCTTTCGGGTTGGTGGAGAGTTCCTGCCTCAAGTGGAGGAGTTTAAGTATCTTGGGGTCTTGTTCACAAGTGAAGGAAGGATGGAACGGGAGTTTCGCCGCAGGGTGGCAGGAAGCTCCCTTAGAGATAGGGTGAGGAGCTCAGTCACCTGGGAGGAGCTCAGAGTAGAACCGCTGCTCCTCCACATTAATTAGAGCCAGCTGAGGTGGCTCGGGCATCTGTTTCGAATGCCTCCTGGGCGCCTTCCTAGGGAGGTGTTTTGGGTATCTCCCACCGGGAGGAGGCCCCGGGGAAGACCCAGGACACTGTAGCATTCCGATTCTTTTAACCATGCTAACTCTGAGAGACGAGGCAGTCCAAGTAACTTCAAAACAGTGCTGATTTATTCAATGAACACAGGTAAAAATTAACATTACACGCTCAGGTATCTTGCACCTCCAACATGTAAGCAGAGGAAGATGGATGGATGGATTATACTCATTTGATTACCCGAATGTAATCTGGTATTCACCAAATTGCTCCTGCACAGACTTCCACACTGACTACTCCAACTGAAGGAAGCACCTGTTCAGTTCCTTTCTTTTCCCTATGATATCTCTTCCTGTATTTTTCTGCCCTTTTCTCTCCTTTGCTGACTTAGTCCTCAGTTGTTCAAAATCTCTTTTACATCACAGCCTAGTGTGAAAAATGACTCTGTAGACCATAACTAAAAAAAAGCAATCTAACGTGACCTAGCAACAAAAAAATAAGCATTATTAAACACAGAAACACTCAAGAACCAAACACTTAAAAATTCATACTAAATGAACTTGAACACGGACAAACAGCCTGTGGCCATATGCTTAGCCTTCTATTTCAATAAACTGAAACTTGGCCTGCTCACATTCAACATGCCAATTGACCCAAAAAAGAAATGAAAAAACTAGGTAAAATTCATCAAAAAATGCCTCAGCGGAACCCAGTGTATAAACAGATATAAAAGCATTAACAACTATCACAGAGAAGTTACTAGGTCTGCATTATGCCAGTTAAAATATGGGGTTTCTCAGTCACTTGCTTTGTTCAGAGTGTTACACATCTGTTTTCATTGGTACATATACCGTTGTTTACCTATCTATGGAGGAGAAATTCAGATGAATTAATGGCGTCGCAGTTCGTTGGGCTGTCCACTTGCGACACTACACTGGCAACAGGAGTTCACAAACTATCCTCTCATTTTCAGGAAGAGGCTCTCTGGTTTTATCATTGTGAAACAACTATAGACTATATGGAGTTATGATGAGTGCCAAGCTAATCTAGAGGTACCAAAGATTAAATGGCTGGAAGCAAGCAGAATCAGCAGCCACGGGGCCTTCTTTAAGTAGAAAAGATTTGAAAAAGCTTGAGTGTTTGTAGAGAACTTGAAGTTGTTTAAAGGTATCTTTGATGGTGCTCACAAGCACAGAACAATAAAAGTAACTAGTAATGTAAATCACTTTTGCCCAAGAGTAATTACTGTAATGATGTTATTATTAAATACTATATAGCATGGACAAAGTAACATAAATTACAATATAGCAGTCCAGCAGTGAATACTTGTTAAAGCAGATAAAACATAATATTGTAAATGTCTGTCAAAGTCCACTTGTGAGCATTGTTCCTCTTTGCCAATGCAGTTCTCCTGTTTTTCTAATATGTCACCATGACTTTTGATACTTCTGATTATCCCTTCATATCTCTTTTTACATAGGTACTGATGCCCCAGTATTTCAGACATCACCTTGACTGCTCAAAAATAAATATTTCAGAGACTCACAAACAAAAACAGACTAAATGAACCTCCACAAATATGTTTACTGAAAAGATACAGTATTGCTAGGCATCCGATATTTTTAATCCCTGCGTATCAGCCAGCAACAAGTGGGCTCATTAAACACTATGCACATAACTGATATTTTACCCAAAGTATTTAGTTGTACACTTTTAGATGTATAACCTGTGGGGAGGAAACTCCATGGGAACTTACACACAGATTATGACACTTTGATATATTTTGGCCATACTGCCCAGCTATACTCACAATGTCCAGCAGTCTGTCGACACAAGATGCAAGTACACTGTGTTGCTCAGTGAGATGCAGAGACAGGGATGATCTGTCCGTTTGCCATTTTTGGCATAAGGGGCACAGCCACTCGACCACCCGACTGCTTTCACTGGTCACCGTCTCTCCAGACTCCTCCTGATAAACCAAAGTGAATGTTAGTAAATCAGTCTTTCTGGAGCTTTATTTATAATAAATGCTGTATAAATCATTTTAGCACAAAAGAAACAAAACAATATGTTTGTAACAAAGTCATTTGACATGAACCAAGATCATGAAGAATGTTTACTTATACTTGTTGATTACACAATATAGATAGGTGGCCAGCACACCTTGCATTGCTGTGTTTAGCAAAATGAACCCACCATCAGAATCCAGGTACCATACCATTCAATAAGCATATAGTCTTTTCCAAAACACCTAATCCTAGAGCAATATCTCTAGGACTGAGACTCTTCTAGCCAAACCTTTGTTTTTATTTTATTGCATTTAACTTTTTGAGGCTGGTTTTGCACAGTTGGAATGTAATTCTGTGGGAAACACTACGGAAGCCAAGCACCCTTTCTACATTGAGAGAAATGAGGCCTAAGAGCATGAGATATGCAGCAAGACTTGTGGGATTGTGTGAAATTGTCTGATAAAGTGACAGAAGAAAGCTATATGCTAGCGGAGCTTCTAGCAAAATAGACAAAACCTCACACGGCAGCAGAGATATTCATCCTGGCCACTTGCTAAAAAATTGCAGGTGACATGATAGGTCCAGATGCACTCTCTTCAATATCAGCAATGATTTAAAAAGAGTGAGAACTGACAGGATAATGGATAAACATCATTTAACTCATACACTGAGCTTTCATATGAATTTCATATGTTCTTTGGCACATTTAATTGTGTATTATTGACAGTTACATGCAAATTAGTTTTTATTCTCTTCTTAGTTTGGTCTGTAAGGAGTAATTACATCTTGATGCTTCCCTCTCAAGCCAAATCTACCTCTCCTGTCTTACACACTCATTTTATTGATCACAAGTAAATACAAATAAATGTTTATAGAGTGACAAGGCTGATAATGTGGTACAGAGGCTATTTTCCATGGACATGAATACAGGTGTGCCTTGAGCAAAATTCTCAGTTGGGTACAGCCCTCAATATCTTTCTTATAAGTCCTTTAAGTTTCATTCACAACTCCGTTTCAACATCAACTATGCTTTGTAGGAAGGTTCACAACACTTTCTGCAATGAGCATATTAAATTACACAATAATATAATTAAATGGCACCTTTGTAATGTAGAGTACACATCTAATGCTTTCAGTAAGTTTTACACTGTACTGCTATAAACTCCCAAGTGGTTTCAGAGCTTTCAACAAACTCATCTGATGTTACACGGTCATAAAATGTACTAAATGCAGACTATTCAACAGGCAGACTCAGCAAATCATAATGTGTTGGAGTTAGTGAGTTCCCAGCAATTTTAACCACCAACATAATAAATATGATCTGAAATCAGATTTGCTCCACATGCCTAACAAAATAATTTTTACTCTCTGCAGTTAAAAAAAACAAAAAAAAACACTACTTGTCTGCATTTTACCTCACAGCTTTAATTAATTTCCTACAAACGTTCATAATACACATCTTCATATCTCAACTCATATTATAAAATGCAACCAAGACAGCAAATTCATGCACATGAAAAAAAAACAAAAAAAAAAACATGCCAATACAGCTAGTCATAATGCCAATTAGCACGCTAGCAAGGTTATATGCCCAGATAATATTTGGACAAGGCTATATGTGCATAATATATAGTGCTTTTAAGTTCCTCTCCTTGCCTTTTATATTTAAATGCCAGGATATGACTATATTGACGTCTCTTTGCTCAGAGTTCGCTAATTAATGAGCAGTCTAATTAGCTAATACCGAGCAGAGAATCAATTAGCTAGCAAGCTAAGCTGAGAAACACCCTGTAACGTCGCATTACAGCGGTGTTTGGAGAAAAGTTGGTTAGCTGTTAACATTAGTTTACTGAAAATAATTCACCATTTATAGCCACACACTTCTCTATAACGACTAGAGGCAAAGCAAGCGTCTGCACAAACTAGCTACTGGGTCTCAGTTAAACCCGGACGGTCATTACATTTAAAAACAGTAAGAGGTCGCGCTATTAACAGTCGTTAATAGCTAGCTAGCTTGTTAGCACACAAACGTAATTAAAGCTCCTCAAACTGTCTGATCTCCTTACAAACTCTGCCTGGTCCAGGTGGGTACTGCAGCTTCAATACGCCATCTGACTTCATCTCGGATTAAAAAAAAATACACTGACTCGGCTTTAGATCGACCTCGGCCTCGAGTTGTTTCCTTACCCCGCTGATTGTGGGCTGCCAATCGGGCATGTAGCGTTGCAACGCCCCGCCGCCTGCGGCTCAACAGCGCAAATTGAGGCCTAGCCGGACTAAAGCCATTTAATTAACGAACATAGCTCCGTTTACATATGTGTTAGAAAACACTCGCACCCCCTCCATCCCTCTTGTCCTGCAGAACCCCTTTTGACGGCGTCCTAGCGCTCAAATCCATTAACGGTGCAACACAGTGACACTTATATTATCATTTGAACCGCTTCATGCCGTAATTGGCGAAGATATTAAAGGCTAAAAAGCTAGTTGAAGCGGAGTACGTGCGCCCGCGGTCGCCTCGACGATGGGGGTGGTGAAGGGAGAGCAGGCGAAAGAGAGACGAGAAGCAGAAAAGTTTGGGATTTAATGTTGGATTTCTATAGGGGATCGGATTAGTATGAGGCACAATCCTTCCTTTGCTCGACCCTCTATCAGTCGCAGGCCACTTTCCCCACTCAAATCAACATAATTAACCGATCGAATGACGTTTGATTAAGTTGAGAGCAATTAGCTAATACGTTTTTACCTGCATGGTCTCCGCTCCAGCACGCACACACGCACACGCTTCCTCTGTGGCTCCTCAGAAGTGAAAAGTTTTCTTTCCTACCCTCCCTCTAATCCCTCTCTCTCCTGTCCCCCCTCCCTCTCTCCATTCGCCGTATCCCTCTCTCCTTCCCCTCTCCCCTGTAGTAAACAGACCACAGCTCCCCCCGAAGCTGGCTGCTGACATTCAGAGGGACACACTGATATAAAGCGTTATATAACCCGATTATTAATCAGTGGTCAAACACAGATCACTTTTTGACCACTATAGATATATGAGACGAGAAAAATGCTGATACATTTCTAGAAGTCGGTACTTGGATCACATGTAATCTCCTTTGATATGAACCCCTTCCTTTCACATCAAATGTGAATAAAAATGAGTTTTCATTCTGCCAACTTGGACTGTATTAGAATGTGATGAGTGGATAATAAAGAAATGACCACAAAGGCTGTACTCAGCAATGCCCTCACGAATTATAACGTTTCTAAATCTAAGGTTTCTAATAGGTGCGGTGAAAATGTGGGATAACATTTATGAAGCGGTGCGGATTAAAACTGTACCATCTGTATGCACCTGCGTTACTGGGACAGTAAATGATGCTCCTCAACACCCTGATAGTTGTCTCTAATTGCGCCTGTGCGAAATTAATATTGCTGACGTGTGGGAGCCGCTCCTTGGGGTGATCTGCCGCTCAGTTTTGATGCTGAAATAGTTGTGGTTTGAGGACCTGGACCCGTGAAGGTGTGCTGTACCCATGACGTTATAAATTCTCTGTGGCTCGGTGTGTTGGTTTTGACTTATGGTTGAATGCATGACTCAGCAGCGGCAGCATCGCGGTTTAAATAGGTCGAGCCTTATAGGCTAATGTTAATGATAGAGGATCTACTGCTGTATTACTTTATATTAATGTATGGCTAGCGGTAACCGTTCAGTTTCGACCATTTATAAACTGTTTACAATACTAACGGCTTGGAAATACAGCGATACCAAACAAATCACCAGAAAAAGATTTGAGTAGGTTATACTGAGAAACTACGGGTTAAATACAATTGTGAGAGCAATATCCTAGAGAGAACCTTTACTTGAGCACACACAGAAGATCATTAAGAGGTTAAATTATTATTGCATACTTAGCTATTGCAATGTTATTATATATATGTGTGTGTGTTTGTATAATGTGTTAGGAAAGAGATTTTAAAAAAGTAAAGTACTTATAAATAGAGACCACATATGTGCAGGTCTCTATAAGTACGTTACTCCTTTTTTTTTTTTAATCTCTTTCCTAATACACATTCCCTTGCTTGTTGACATGTACATACACATTGAGAGCTGATGTACCACAGTCAAATTCCTCGTGTGTCCAACACACCTGGCCAATAAAGCTGATTCTGATTCGATTATTGTGGAATTGGATTATTACTACTAGTGCATTACTATGCACTGTAGACAAAATTTTGTCTTCTTCTTCTTTCGGCTGTTCCCGTTAGGGGTTGCCACAGCAAATCATCTGTTTCCACCTAACTCTATCCTTGACATCCTCTACTCTCACCCCAACTTCATGTCCTCTTTTAGCACATCCATATATCTCCTCTTTGGCCTTCCTCTTGACCTCTTGCCTGGCAACTCCATTTCCAACATCCTTCTACCAATATAACCACTATCCCTCCTCTGCACATGTCCAAACCATCTCAATCTGGCCTCTCTGACCTTGTCCCCAAAACAGCCGACCCTCATCAGCTGTCCCTCTGATGTGCTCATTCCTAATCCTGTCCATCCTGGTCACTCCTAAACAGAACCTCAACATCCTCATCTCTGCTACCTCCATCTCTGCCTCTTGTCTTTTCCTCACTGCTACAGTCTCTAACCCATACAGTCTTTCCTACACTCCCCATCACACTGGACTGTTCAGAATCAGCCTTATTGGCCAAGTGTGACGGACACACGAGGAATTTGACTCGGGTACATCGGCTCTCAATGTGCAAAACAGTAAACCAGCATAGGGCTGTGTAATATAACAAAATAGCAGTATTAACATCAACAAACAGTGCAAACAATGCAGAAAAAGCAGTATAAACAGACAGTAAACAATGCAGACAAAAAAGGAATGTTGTCTGCATTGTTGAGATAAATAGGGATAAAAACAGAATACTTAAAACTAGAGATCTGTATGAGTCTGTATAATCTGTACAATGTATATATACACAGGTATTGCACTGAGGGTTATTGTCTAATCATACTGTTGTGGGTTAAGTGTTCATCAGAGTGACAGCCTGGGGGAAGAAACTGTCCCTGTGCCTTGTTGTCTTAGTGCACAGTGACCTGTAACGCTGTCCAGAGGGGAGGAGTTGTCGGCGCCGGAAGTTATGGTGTGAGGGGTCAGCAGTGATCCTCTCCGCCCTCCTTTTGACTTGTGAGGTGTACAGGTCCTCCATGGAGGGCAGGCTGGCACAGATGATCTTTTCTGCAGTCCTGACTGTCCACTGGGGTGTGTTCCTGTCCTGTTTGGTTGCTGAGCCAAACCAGACAGTGATGGAACAGCTGAGAAACGACTCCATGATTCCTCTGTAGAAATGTATCAGGAGCTCCTGGGACAGGTTGAGCTTCTTGAGCTGGTGCAGGAAGTACATCCTCTGCTGTGCCTTCTTGATGATGGTCCTGATGTTGGACGTCCACTTCAGGTCCTGGGAGATAGTGGAGCCCAGGAACTTGTAGGACTTTACTGCTGATACAGTGCTGCCAAATATGATGAG